ATGTCAATTTATTTTTATAGTTATAAAGAGGTTAATTGAAATTTCCAGGATCTAAACATAACTTCATAGGACAAGAAAAATATCTAGTTTCCTTTACTGAACAATAGGTCAGCTGAGTGTTTTCTTCCCAGAGTCACTTGAGTTTTACATCAGCACTCTTATGCAAAGACCAAAGCTTTGAGAGTATCTTGCTGTCTGTTGTGGGAACAAAAAAAACACCTTAATATATTTTCAAGGAAAAACATTTCTTAAGAGGAATAACATGTTAAGAGGGAAAGGGAAAATTATGGTCATGCAGATGATTCCTAATTATCATCATCATTTATGCAAAAACTTCTGAGAAGAATTTTGTTGTTTAAGGATAAATTTACCAAACAACCATTGAGGGTAAGGCTTTAATAGCCCTTTAGGTCATCACCTATCAAAATTTACTTTCAAGAATAAACTTCAACATAAATAATATTTAATGGCAAAAGAGACATGCACTAATTGTTTGATTACCACTTAACATTTTGGAAGAATAAAAGTCATGCTATTTGAAATGTCAGAGGAAAGAATGAGCAGGGAGACACATACATCCATGCATACATCTCTCTCTCTCTCTCTTTCTCTCTCTGTCTCTCTCTCAATCTCCTTTACTTTGTTCCTGCTCCAAATCCCATTTTTTAAGGAGTGGACTCATACCACCCCTTCCCCATGTAGTCAGGCTTGTGCTAGCATAATTGGTAAGGCATTGTTAAGAGTATGCAAATAGGTGGCTGATTTCTGATACCTAGTTTGCATTGATTTACATTTAGACACAGATTCTGAAGAACAGACCCTCGCTTTTCCATCTCCTTCAGAAAGATTACAGCTTCGTAGGATGAGTCCTTTCTCATCAACCCTTAATCTACAACCCAACTTTTCTGGAAGATCCTGCTTTGATATCAGATCCTCATCCCACCAGCTGAGTTTGCATTCTTCTTTACAGTCTCTGAATGTACCAGGTGAGCTGAGAACAAGTGGCATTTCCTCTTAATATCTGGGCCTTTGCTCTGAAATATCTTGTTTAGCTTTTGATATTCATGTCTACATTAACAGGGGGTAATTATTCTCCCTGTCTATGGCCTGCTTCTAAGGTGAAGAGGATTTGGATAATGACATTTTGTGTATGTGTGATATAGCAACCAAACCATCTGAGCTGCTATGCATGTATAATGACTGATTAGTAAGCCCTCCACATCAGTAAAAGTGTTCCTTTGGCTCACATTCACACTTTTTGTTTACAAATTATCCTTTTTGTTAACACTGGCATGAATCAGTCATTCTGTCATAACATATCATGACATAGCACTAGCACAATCCACTTATATAAGACCAGTGAAACATTCTGAAGGTGTGCAGCTGATGAATCCTGGAAGCCATTTGTGTCTAAGGATGGATCAGCACATCTGGCCAAGGTGGGCTTATTTAAACATAAGCTTGAGAGATACCAGCAGACTATATTCTGGAAATTAGGGAGAAAAGAGTTAAAATTTAAAAGCAGTATCTGCTAGCATGACAGTACTTTCTCAGTTAAAAAAAAAAGGAACCTATGGCAAACAGAAGAAGATGAAATAATTAAGTAATTACAATCCACAAGGTCTGTTAATCTAACTGCCTCTTGCTTCACTTGCCATCAAGGCAAGTTATGACAAATTTAAGCTCATTTCACTTGTAATGACACTAGACACAGGTTTTTGCTTTGCTGGGATCAGCCCAATAAGCAAAACTTAGAAAATTCGTCTAAGCAGCACACACATTTAATTTCTTCAGAGCTATTTTGAAATCATGGATGCACATTTTATACATTGCACATTTCCTCCCATCACTTACATCAAGAAATGAGGAAGATCATGCTATGTCAGTTCAAAAGACATGCAGGGACTTAAAGCTTTATTAAACATGTCTTTTTTTTTTCCTTTTATGTTTCTCTGTATACCTTTAGACAGACTTTGGTACTGTGTCTGATGTAACAAAATGTCACAGTTATTATAATATATGTGTCTTAAGATTAAAGGCACTGTGATCTGAGTTGATTGGTGGATGTATTTAGTAGTGCTGTAATAGTTGTATAATTGAATTTTAACTCTTTTATGTTGTGCTTAAAATGAAATGCCTTTTAGAACATCTGTTTTGAAAGCAAACATATATAAGCACAATTAATTAAAAACAAATACAAAAAAGCCCAAGTAGAGCCTACATAACTGCTACAGGTAGAAATAAGTTTAAAAAGGAGTTCAACTAGAAAAAAAATCAGTTAACAATTAGAATTAAATTAGAAATTTCAATTAGAAATTCAATTAGTCAAAAAAAGTGTAGCTTTATTATATTCACTGGACCCTAATTCACAGATAAGAATTTAGGCAGCTTTAAATTGAAGCTAAGCATGAAATACAAATGGATGGGTTATTTCCATTTTATTCTAGCAAAATACTAACCAAATGAAGGCTTACATTCTTTAAATTCTAATCACAACTCAACCATTGGACTTCCTATCATTGGATGTTATGCATGACAAAATAACTTTTTAATTTTTAAGTTTATGATAATACCAAGGTACTTTAAATAAATATCCTGATAATTCTTTCTATTAATTTAGTCCTTCATATATCTTCCTTCAAAAATATTAATAGAAAGCAGTTTTTATTACTCTTTTTTTGAGTGGGCATGGGGAAGTATTAGATTCCCTTTCTCATAATTCCAATTAAAATTAAATTTACAAGGCTCTTCTGGTGCCATCCCAAATTTTAGGTCTAATGGAAATGAGGTTAAGAAAGTTTATTGTAATCTCTTCTGGAAAACAATGGAATGATTCATGGTTGAAATAGCATAGGCATATTTCATTGATACCCCTCTATACCATATATTTCTACATAACAAGGTATAAAATATCTTTGACATCTAAAAAGAATGAGGCTTTCAGAATACCTCTTTACTTTAAAAATTATTTCAATATTAATAAACATCATGTTACTTAAATGATAGGTACATAGATATATAGGAATATATGATGTATTCCTATGTAGTTATTTTAGTAAAATTGAACATAAACGTAAATCATAGCAGTAGTTTAGTGTAACTATAATTGAACTTATAGCATGAGGTTATAGCCATACTGTAACAGAATAGTTGTAAACTACAAAATTTCTCCATTTCATACAAGATAATGTCTTTTTCCCTTTTTAAAATGGCAAGCCTTTTAACATGGCAAACTCATAAAGAAGTAGTAGAGGATAGAATGATGAGGTTTTGAACTACATAATCTCAAAAAGATTGAAAGAGGATTTTGGAATGATAATAAATGTGCACTTTTCAGTGCAAAAGTATACCACAAATTTCATAGAGTGACGTTATGTAGTGAACTGGTACATGAAGCAGGGAAAGGGAAGATTTCTGGTTTTGATTGAATCAAGTATATATTAACTTTATTCAGAATGTTCATTATTATTGTATACAAATAATTTTCAGATTGGTTACTTTTTCTTATCTTTGATATATAGTATCTCTTTATAGGATGCAATTTTGAGACACAATCACCACCTTACTCTCAACTGGGCAAGTATATTTATGATAACTAAGTTTTATTTTAGTTTATGCTGTTGATACATCCATCAGTTTCCTTCACAGAGTAAATGGATATTTACTTTAATTCAAGAGAATTAAGATTCCATTACACCAACCTGTTGAATTCCTTTTATGAAAAAAAAATCTAGCTCTATTTTTTTTGTGCTTCATCAGAGAAGTCTAATTCCTTCCAGTATTCTTATACATTAACTCAAAATGCTATTTTGTTGAAACTTACCAATAACACAAAACACTCCAAAAGTTATGCTATTATGATATTTTCTTTTTTTGTTTGCTTGTTTTGGTTTTTTTATTTTTTTTTTTTACTAAGACTATTTTCAAAAATGTTCTTTCTCATACCCAAAGTAATGTAGTCCCACCAAAAGGAAACAATAACAATAATAATTGAAATTTGTATAGTGCCTTAAGGTAACAAAGTACCATCCAATATTATTTCAAATGCTCATAAAATATACCACTTTTCTTATAAATGACTATTTTACTTCCTGTTTCTTTCCTTCATGCCATTCATTTGGAATGACAACAGTTGACATTAAAAAAATGGTGGCAGGTATGAAATAACCTATGTTCTGTGAAATCTAAGTGCATGTGAGCTTTTTATAAAGAGTTTCAACAAACCAGTGAATAAATCTGTGTAAAGTGTGTTATTTTTTGAGATAGTATTTAGGAATTAAAATTTGGAGCATAACCACTTGCACTAATCTGCTATTTTATCTACCCTTAATGTTTAAAAGGCTAGTACTTCTATAAATTATTTTATGTCTGAGACTTAGACAATAAATTGTCAAATTATGTTGTGAAGGGATTCATGTCATTTCTGCTCTGTTAAAAATTCACAGCTATTCATGAAAATTGAAGCCATAAATACTGATTTTGTTGATCAACTTTTCAGTTTTCAGTAAAGCAAAGAACAACTGTACTTTATCAATTCTACTGAAAGGTATATTAACCATTTTTCTGTTATCCTTCCTCCATGTAGGACTCCATATTTTAGACTTCCTACTTTCCCTTTCATATCTTCACCTTAGTTCAACTCCCTTTACTTTCTGGTGGTATTCTTTTGACAGTCACCAGATAAAGGAAAGCATTCCTTCCATAATTGATGCCATTCCACTTCTGGATCACTAAGTTGGGAGTGTAGTCTGAGCAAGAAGACCCTTTCCCAAAGACATACTCTGCTAAGACAGTTATCTAGTTCTTTAAGTCTCATTCTATATGAAGAAAGTGGCCAACACTTGGGCATATGTATTATCCCTTCTGGCCCTAGGAGCTTTCTATCTACACAATGGCAAGGTATCTAGACATAAAGGTCCTCATCCTGCTTAGGGATTTTTAATAGACTGTAGTCACTGGTTCAGTCTTGATAACTAGATTCCCTTTGTGTTTTTTCCCAGTTGCCTGGTTTGCATTTGACCCTGGCTCTGCGCACTCTGACATTATCTTCTCCAATGACAACCTGACTGTTACCTGCAGTAGCTATGATGATCGGGTTGTGCTAGGAAAGACTGGCTTCTCTAAGGGAGTTCATTACTGGGAGCTGACAGTTGATCGTTATGACAACCATCCAGATCCTGCTTTTGGTGTAGCCTGCATTGATGTGTTGAAAGATATGATGTTAGGAAAGGATGACAAGGCTTGGGCAATGTATGTGGATAATAATCGGAGCTGGTTCATGCACAACAACTCACACACCAACAGGTACCCTACAGTTGTCAATTTGCCAAAAGTCAAGCCTTCGTGTTAAGATTCTAGTAAGAGAATAAGAACCCTAGCCACAATTCTTTCCCCTTGCTCTTGCAAAACCAGGCCAGCATAGGTATTATGGACATGTAAAGAACATACTTCTTTGGAACAGAAGTCCTCTTCTTTGTTAATCTAATTCAATACACATTTATTTAATGCCTTTTGTATACAACACAATATGTTAAGTCCTAGGGAAATGAAGCAAAATAAAATGCACTCTCTGCCTTTGATTCACTTACATTCTTATACAAATGAAGCATTCACACAAATATCTCTAAGTTGGAAAATAATTAGTGCATGAGAAGTAAACAGTAGTCAAGGAGATTCAGAAAAGGGGGGACAATTTCTAGGTGGGGGGCATTAAGGTAGGCTTCATGAAGAAAATAGCAATTGAGTGATTATAAAAGTTACTGTACCACTTCATCTTTGCCATTTGAAAGTTGGCTATAATGCAGATTAAGTAACTAATTTAATAGGAAACTGGATACTGGGATTTGATTAAATAATGTATTGGCTCTATTTCCATTAGCTGTGTTTATCCTGGTGAACCTGTTTTTACATACAAATGGAATTGTAAACTCTTTCTTTAATACCTAATGTATTGATGGCTAAGAACTAGAAACATCCCACTGTTTCTTGTGAGAAATAGGAAGAAGCTGGAAACTTTAGTGTGTAGGCTGTTCATAAGACTAAAACAAGCAATGACAAATTAATAGATGTCATTTATTAACACTTTGCATTTGAAGCATTGTTATACCATTTTGTGTTTGAGATAAGAATTGCCAATTTGTTAGAGAAAAAAAAATTTGTCCAGTCACTTGTGTTTCCCAGTCTTTCCAAGGGAATGCATTGTATATATGACAAAATTTATTTTGCAATTTTTGTAATAAGAATTCATTTTCCTTGAAGTCCTTCTTAACCTTCAACTCTTTTCACTTCTAAAGCTACACTTTGTAAACTTCCTAGGATGGACAAGTAACTTTCACAGATTCTGATCTCATTTAGAAAGACCTACTTGGGCAAATATTCATCAGTCTATATGTATTAAAGAAGAGTCAGTCTTTAAGAAAAGAATTAAATAGTGGTAGGATGACAGCATTCTCCCTAAAAAGATGCTTCAGTAGGAAACATTAGTCAGCCAGTCACCTTGTTCAGTATGTCCTCCTCTTCTTATAGCTTGGATTTACACTGGCTTTTTTTTACTTAGAGATATTCTGTTACTTCTATCAACTCAATCTTGCATTATCCAATGTCATATACAGTTAATTTTAGGTCATTTCAACCAGATATGCACTGGATTTCAGATGGGGGATAATCCCCACCCTCCAAATTATGTTTGGGGAAATGACCCTATCATATGAGTATCAGAGCCCAAACCAGAAGGATATCATATATGTACCATACTCAACCTCCCCTTTCAATTCCTTATTTAGAAGTGAAGGGATAAAGACTAACATATATTGATGACACCATCCAGATAAACTTTTTTTTAAAAAAAATAAATATCTTGGGCACAAACAATATCTAACCTATATTGTCACTGTAGGATTGTGTGTAATTGATAATTACTGAATTTTCTAACAATGGCTGCCTATAGAATGACCAGATAGTCTTAATTCTGTATGTGGAGGAGAGGGAAAGGAGAGAAGGGATCCTTTATAGCTCTTACATCTATATTTTTCTGCTGAAGTTTCATATAGCCAGATCACAAAAGGGGTGAGTGTGTATGTGTGTGTGTATAGGTATGTGTGTTTGTGTGAGTAGGGGGAACAAATATGATAAATTTTGTTTTTTATTTTTGAGACTGCTGACTGAAGTACATCACAGATTTTTTAAATGTGTTGCTTTGTCTCCAAGTTCCCTGAGATTGCTGCAGTTTAGGTATTTTCATCCAGTTTAGGTATTTTCTTAGACAAGTGAATCAAAGTCTTAAAGTCTGTGATTTTATAAATTGATACTTAATTCAAATTCAAAAAAAAATTAAATGACCGATTCTTTTTGAAGAAGAATTTTACAATATTATGTGCATCAAGAAGCCCAAGACAAAATTCCTTGTGTTTATTTTTCAGGCTTGGCTTAGATGCTTGTTTTGCTTTTGTTTTTATTTGTATGTGTATTAACTATTAAGTCAGGACAGCACTGTATTGTGAAAAAACCTATAGACTTAAAGTCAAGAGATAAAGGTTCTAATCCAGACTTTGCTACTAACCAAACATGTGACTTGAAGAGGTCTCAGTCTCTTTATCTGTAAAATGTTGGACTACATGATTATCAAGGTCCCTTCAAGCTAAAAATTTCTATGATTGTATGATACCAAAACAGGGAAATTCATAATTAAAATCTATTGTAGAACATAATAAAAGAACCTAATCTCTGATGAATCAGATTATTTTTAGTCATTGGTATTTGTTTTATTTGTTAACACTAAGAAGCAGCAAAGGAGAGAATCCATTGTTCATTAATTATGCTTGAAATGGTATAGTCTTTCAAATTTGAAAGTAAGGAAAAATTTAATTTGACCTGCCATCCCAATTATTTTCTTTTCCCACAGAACTGAGGGGGGGATCACAAAGGGAGCCACAGTTGGAGTCCTTCTCGACTTAAATAGAAAAACCTTAACATTTTCAATCAATGAAGATCAACAAGGTCCTATTGCCTTTGAGAATATGGAAGGTCTATTCTTCCCTGCTGTCAGCCTGAACAGGAATGTACAAGTAAGTATTTTGCCCTTACAGGTGGAGAAAATATTTCCATTGCAGCAGTTTCAGAGGCTCATGGCCTTAGAGTAAAATTCATAGCATTAAAATAAAAAGATCACAGGGAGGGATGGTGAGGAGATGGATGTGGTTGAAAGACTAGAAGAGAATTAAAAAGGCAGGGAGGGGGAATGATGAGGTGTGGAGTGAAGTGGAGGAACTAAATATGTACTTGGTTCTGACTACAGAAGGTGATATTGCAATGTGGAGATATGGTCCCTCCCTATCACAAATAGTCAAATGGGAAGGGAACAGAGAAGGCAATAGGTGGGACAGATGCCTAGATCAGGTCAATCAAGGATGTTGAACCTAATTTTTAAGGTCTGGGAATATATTTTAGGAGGAATGGAAACAATTATATAAGAACCATTCAGTGGTCTATATGCTCATCACTCTTTAATGTGAAATATAATTTTTTTTAGTGTCTGCCCTTGGGCATCACATGGGACAGGAGAAAAGGAGTGATCACAGACATTACAATCATATATTCAGCCATAAGCGACAGTTTACATAACTCTATTTTGTTGTATGCTATGAGTGGATTCTGGAGCAGCATAAGCTAATTATAACTATAAACCCACATATATATATAAAATTATCCCTACGCTTATGATCTCATCACATTGAAGCAAATATTTCAGCTCATTTCCTCTGATTTTCCTAAATATTCGGGCTAATTGCAGTGCAGTAAGGAGAATGCACTGATTCAATTACCCAGAACCTTCAGCTGCTTCCTGTAGCCCTGGTGAGGAAAAAATGTCTTGGCAAGTCTTCAGCATACTGCCTATCTGAGATCTCCTGCCACAATTTCCATTTACCCTCTAATTGTTCACAGAGGAAAAGATGTTGAGCTAAATATTGGTCCTAGAGGGCATAACCAAGAGCAAGGGAATATCACAAAGAAGCAAATTTAGTCTTGATATAATGAAAAATCTTCCTAACAATTAAGGCTCTCCAAAAATGCATTGTCCTGAGAGTAGTGGGTTCCCCCTGCATTGAAGATCTTTAAGCAAAGGCCAGCTGACCACTTGTCAGGTATGTTGTAGAGAGACTTGTTGTTAATGTCTAAGTTAGATGAAATCACTGTTGACAGCCCTTCCAAGTCTGAAATTCTGTGGTTCTGTGATTCTACTCTGGTTTTCAAGATTCTTTTCTGAGATGAGAGCTTTCATTATAACCTAAAGATAATGAAGTAAGAACAACTTTCTCAAAGATGAGAAAAATATAATCAGAGCAATACATGAAGCAGTTCTGAATACACTCAACCTAGACTTCAAATCTAGAATTTTGGAGCTAAAAAGGAACTTAGTTGTTCAGCCATTTTTCAGTTATATCTGACTCTTCATAACCCCATTTGAGGTTTTCTTGGAATTTCTTCTCCAGCTCATTTTACAAATGAGGGAACTGAGGCAAATAGAATTAAGTGATTTGCCCACTCTCACATAGCTAGTAAGTGTCTGAGGCCAAATTTGAACTCAGAAAGAGGAGTCTTCCTGACTTCAAGCCCAGCACTCCGTCCATTGTGCCACCTAGCTGCCCTAAAAAGGAACTTGAAGATTAATAAAATCAAGCTGGGTAAGAATTAAATAAATACATTTATGTGAAGATTAATAGTTTGTATTAATGTACCTAAACATAAATAGGAAGGTTTGGCATAGCTTGAGAATACACTCTTGGAATATTTAAAACTATTCTGAAGTATAAAATTTTCCCAACCCATCCTTTCAGCTTCCAGACATGAAATATAGAGGGTTCAGAGCTGACTTTAAGCTACACTCTCCTGCCTCTCTGTGGTATTTTCATTAAACATGCAGATTAACTCTCACTGTCTGCAACCAAATTTCCACCAGAATATTTAGAATAGGAAGGAGGTTGAAAAGCAGATTGGAAAAGTTTAGAATTCTTGCCTTAATCTGATTTTTTATCCCTGAGAGTAGACATCAAAGAAGAAACTCACAGGGTTTCTTGCTATGTCAGAGGGCAGACAGAGCAATGGGGAGAAGGTTGTAATTTGCTGACCATATTCTTGTTGTAGGTAACACTTCATACTGGACTGCCAGTACCTGACTTCTACTCCAGCAGGGCATCGATAGCGTAACAAGAGCCCTGCTCAGAAGCCAGGTGCCTTTATTTATCCCTAGTTGAAAATTGCTAAATTTATTCAAGATCAGACCTGATGACAGTAAGGGGAAAAAATTGGACAGTTCACAGTTTGTTAATATCAGAAAGAAGTTGGAAGAATAAAGCTGGTCTTCTACATTCTTTGTATTCTATAACTCTGCCATGTATCCTCTCAATATCTCCAATGTTAACAAGTCTGCATTGGCTTTGGTGTTTAGCTATTTTGATCAATAATATAAGTAGATATACTACAGTGTTACTCTGTGTCCAATTTTAGGTTTTTTATTTCATTTGGGCTTTAATTTGGGTGAGCTATTTTCTCTACAAGATAGTGCTGCCATGCTAAGAGAAAATGTTTATGCTTACTTTTCTCAAGTTTTCCCTCAAAAAATGCTATACTATAAGGAAGAATGGCTTTAAAAGGCATTTTGAAGCTGTGGCTAGTTTGTTCCCTATTGAGCTCTGTGTAGGTACACGTAGATTGCAACAAGTATCAGAGCATAACTTGGGCAAAGTAACTAAAGTTACCAAGGAAGGGTGATCTGGATATTTTCCCAGGGCTTTGATGTTTAGAAGGGAAAAAAATTATAAATAATTTTAAATGGTTGCAACTTTAAATTTTCTTACATCTCAATTTTTTATAATACCATTGCTCCTTCTGCATATAGAAACAATAAGTAGTTAAACTAGGAAGCTACCAGATATCTTGCTTTGTTCCACTGACTGACACAAACCAGGTCAATTCTTCCCGCCCAGCTTATCCTGTTATCCAATGGCCTCCCCAATATCATCCTTGTAGTATCCTGATATTTCCTTCTAAGGTCTCTGTTGCTCCTCCATACTGTGTATTCCAGTAGTATCTGGGGCCTCTTTTTCCACAAAGCTCTCTCCTGAAGTTTCCCCATAGGGTGGTACTGGATTCTACCTCCACCTCCACCATGAGGGAACCATTCTCAGGATTTCTCTGTTCATGTAGCAGTGCCCTGAAATGTTCCCTAACATGCCTAGTGTTAGGGTCTCCTATCCCTACTTTTAATTTGAGAGTACATTTATTGCTGCTTGCCCTGGGCTCCAAGATCACTAGTTCTGGCTCTACTAAGCACTAAATGATTTTGTTATAAATTAGCACAATATCATCCATATAAAAATAAAGCTTTGTGATCTGTCCAGACCCTTGTAATTAGAACAATTAGTCAGTCTTTGAAACCAGTCTAATTTTTTGTGTGATGGAACATGGTATCAGCAGAATGTGACTGAAGTTAAATCAAACAAGAACAGCCTTTCATTAAAGTTGCTACAATAGGACAGCAATAACTGCTACCATGGTAGGCCACACATGTATTTTCAGTTCTTCTGTTACTTATTATGCCCCCACTGGAACTGTGCTACCATATATCATGGGGTCTTTCTCTGGTCCAAATGATATTGGTATTCCAATATGTCAAAAGTGCAAAGAAAGTCCAGCCTTAAAATAATAGCTCTGTGAGGGTACTCCTTGTTCTTTCTGTTGAAGAGAATTTGCTAGCTAAAGATCTTTTCACATCATCCACAGTCCATTCATAGTAAATTCACATTCTCCATAGAATATCTCAAATTGTAATCCATATTATTCATGTTCTCATGAATTTGCTTTTTTGACATTATACTTATACCCATTCCCCCATGTCTACTATAAATAAAAATTTTAGTTTACTCTGCTATCACTCACAACTTAACTTTCTGGGAGAAATCTAACTAGGAAAAAAAATTAGACTCTTGTTATATATGACTCCAGAATGTTAATGCTTACTATTTCTGTATAGAATTAATTGCATGATATTTGCAATGACATTTCTTTGGTTTTCTTCATTTCATAAAACATGTTAGACAAACTTTAAGAAATAGGAAAAAAGTCATGTTAATTGTACAATGATTTATTTGCCAATGTATCAAGAAGTTCAGTCAGTAATGAATTCAAACGGGGAAAATGGCAAAATGAAGTTAGCTAACACATTAGTGTTATAGAAAAAAAGGCTGTAAATAACCACTTTTAACATTCAATTTTTACCTGTTACATTGTTCTTCAAGTTTAAATTGGCCTAATGTATTGAATGGGTGCTATTTTGTTTACATCCATTTCAGTTTTTCTTCGCTACAGAAAAACTCTGTTGCAGGACAACACTAGTTTGATATTTGTTTTAATTTCCAATTAATCTCAATGGCTGGACCACTATACACTCATAGTGACTGTTAGTTCTTTATGGAATTGTTTCTGCTAATTAGATTTCTAGTACTCCTAACACATTGTTTATGTTGTATTGTGTTTGTAGCTGCATATAGCTGCTGTACTAAGAAATTATCATACTTACCATTCCAATAAATAACTTTTATGAGAAAACATTGAATGTTTATTTAGCATTTGTCTGTGTTTATCCTGTCTTAAAGTAATATCCTAACTGAAAAATGGGTCCTTGGAAGTATGCCAAAGCTCTAACAATGAATATTTTTGTTGCAGAGATTCTCTGTCAAGTACAGCTTGGACTACATGACCGCAAAGATCTCTTCTAACACTAAGATTCTAGTATTCTGTGAAACAATTATTATCCCTAATTCTACCAGCTGATTTATGATTTAGGCTACACAACATGCATAACAATGAGTGCAGAGAAACGGGACACACACATATTCTATAGCACATGCACCTGAGACTGAGTACCCCTATCCACAATCTTCTTTTAAAAAATACTTTCCAGGGGCAGCTAGGTGGTACACTGGATAGAGTACTGGCCCTGGAGTCAGGAGGACCTGAGTTCAAATCTGACCTCAGACACATAACACTCACTAGTTCTGTGACTCTGGGCAAGTCACTTAAACCCAATTGCCTCACCAAATAAATAAATAATACTTTCCAATTATCTTTTTTTTTTTCTGATGCCAAATGAGGTGAAGGCCTCTCTTTATTGATCTAGTGGTCTTTCCTTGGCAGGACCAGGCGGGGGTCAGCTACAGTAGGAGAAAGATTTTTATTTCAGGATGTTCTGGCACAAGCTATAAACATAGTGTGAGCAAGGTGAGTTTGTGGTAATACATGTAAGTCTGGGAACTCAAAGGGTCATGTAGTAGTGACATTTGAAATGAAAGCCAAGACCAATATCTGAGGCTATGGAACTTGAGGCAGCAAATCTGTTCAAAAAAGGATCAGGTTAAAACCAGAAACACAATCAAGTCTAACTCATGGGAGACAGAGTCAAAGGTTCAGAAGTAAGAGATTCAATACTGGGTGTACTATATTGGGAAAAAATCCCATATATTCCTCATAGGTCTATAAACCAATGTCAATTAAAGTATATATTTAAAAGCTTGGGCCCTGCCCTCAAGATTCTCCTAAATTCCATTTACCTAAAACAATCCCACTACTATCATTAACCTCATTAATTTCCACATCAACTGTGAAATCTATGCTAAGGTGATATAAGCCCCTTTTTAGTCTCATTGATGTTTATTATCCAGTAAGAAAATGGTAGCCACAAAGCTGAAGTAGATTTCTATCTTTAGATTCCCAGTTTTCCTTAATCCTTTCTCTTCTGCAACCTAAACACTGTTGGCATCAATAGTAAACTAATGAGTCTGTATTAAAGTAATCCTTCATCTCGGTAAACCTTTCGCCTTAGAAAACAGCTGTCAATTACATTGTATTTCAATTGACAAGCTTCCACCCTTACTTCTATCATTATAAGGTAAGTATTTTATTCTGTTTTCTCCTATCTTTTTCTATTTCATTTATTTTAGTGGTACCTTTTTTATGCCACATTCATATATTAATATATATACCTCACCCTTCTCCCTCCTCAGAAAACTTCCATTGTGAGAAAAATAAAAAGCTTTCTTTCTTCAAAAAGTTCAACAAATGAACACATTGATAGCATTTGAGAATACATACAATTTTCTACATACATAATCCCTTACCTCTGAAATGAAGAGAGGAAGGTACATTTGCTCAATTCTTCCCCATGTCTGCTTGGTCATTATAATATAGCAAGCTTTTAGAGGTTATAATCCTAATATATATTCTATCAAGATGTGCTAGGTGGAATGATCACCACTCCCTTCTTTCTCTTCTCCCCTTCTATTTGCAAATTGTCCTTATTCATTCTTGTCCTGAGTTCTAATTTAATCAGAGGGCGTGTTTGAATACTTCCAAATCAAAATTGCTAAAAATTGCAATATCCTCATTAATCAATTAGCTCTGAGTACACATCTCAGGTTATGAATTATCATTTATTTAATAAACTACTCAAAACTCATTTCCCATGAACATTTGTTCATCTCTTTACGTCAAATCCCCTAATCTAGAGAAACATCAGTTTCTGACCACAGTTATTTATTAACAGTTTAACAAACAAGGAAAAAAGCAAAGACATAAATAATCTAATAATAATTCTTAAAATATATCAATTGTACAAAAAATAATAACTAAAGTCAATTTTAGCCATCACTACAATTGTGGACTTCTTAAACACAATCTCAATATTCAGATATATACAGTTATAGTTATATAGATACCAATTAAAGTCTATTCTCAAGAATCCTTTTTGTTTCTTCATAAGATAGGGATTAAATTCAGTTCTTTCAGGAAATAAATTCTCATAGTCCTTTTTCTTTGTCATCTTTTCTGTCATCGCTCTCTAAAATGACAATTAAACTCAGTCCTTTCAACTTCACAGAATGACATTTAATTGCAGCAGCCAAGATTCCGTTGCTTATTTTTAATTTTTTAATTCATTTTGAACTTAAATACATAAAGACAAAAAAAGAACATTCCCATGTACACAGCACAACATAAAAAGAAGGTTCAATACAAAACCATGAATTTCCATTTCATATTGTCTACTTGTTTAAAAAAAAACTACATAATAAGTGCTACACATTGTTTTCAAAGTTACCCTGCTTTTTTGTGCATCCTTCTAAGTTTTTTTTTGTTCTCTGCTGTGCATTTTGTATTTTTTTTCCTATTTCCCTCTCTACCCTGCCCTAGAGACGGCTACCATTAGACACGAATATGTATATAAAATCATACTATACATCTATTTATCATTTCCTTCTCTGGATAGCATCTCCCTTCATAGGTCCTTCATTAGTGGCATATTTACCCTTTTCATTTTTAATACTAGTGATTT